TGTAAAACAAAAAGCTTTTATTGTGTATGTGTGCTACTGTTTACACGAGAGAATGGCGGAGATTTGCATTGATGTAAACATCTATCTGGCTGTAGTCCTTATGGTAATTATTAACAAAAATGCTAAATTAGTTGCCAATTTTATATTCTTGATTTATAAAATAAAGTCTAAAGTTAATCCAAAGAAAAAAATATAACAACCATATTTGCTTAAACATTTATTGAATGCTGGAACAGTGTTATGAATGCAAGAACATTAAAATAGAGGTTTTGTGATTCCTGTAAATATTTTTTTTAAGACTCATGAGGATAGGTAATGACAAGACAGTAAGCTGTGAACATTTGTTTACGTATTTTATATATCTGTTGCATATATTTGAAAGATCAAGAATTGTATAATTCAATGTAAAGAGTGAATGTGCAGTTGTTACCTGTTAAAGAGTTAGTTATATCTGATCTTAACCATAAAAATGACATCTGTTGGAGTTGTGGCTTCTTTAGTCACTGTGACTGTCTTGCACAGTAATACACAGCTGAGTCTAGTCTAAAACATTATTTCCCTGTGGAAACACTGTGTTTTTGGACGTGTCCTGGGTGAAACTGAACTTGTTTCTCACTGGGTCTTTAATGTAGTGCCACCACCACTACAAAGATATCCGAGCCATTCCAGTGTGTAAGAAAAAGTGACGAGGACATTGAAGATCTCGATGAAGATGTTTATTGCAGCATAGCAGTGACAAAGTACATGTAGAGTCAGAATGAACCACGAACATTCTAAGCTCAAACCTTTTATTCAGTTACAGTTTACTACCCTTAATGTAAATGAAGTTGCTCCTGTTGTAACAGCTGTGGTCTGTATGTTAATTAAGTTCTGACACCCCTTTGTCTGAGGTGGTTATCGGTGTCCCACACCCTCTCCCATTCTACAATTGGTCACCATTTGCTCAGGATGTGATCATCCCAAATGGTCTAGAAACAACATAACTGTTGACTTTCTTCTTCTCTATAATAATTAAGCCATTTTGGGAAATGAGCATGATCAAACATATATTGTGGAGTGGAATCTGGGTCGGGGCAGATTATAGATACTTACAAGTGCTTTTCCAGTGGGTTGATGGATCCAGTTAATGCAACAGCTTGACTCTGAAACCCTGCAGGAGATGGAGAATGATTCTTGAGGTTTCACAACCATAGAAGGAGGCTGAGTGAGCGAAACACAGAAAACACCAGCTGAAAAACAATAAAAGAATGTGTTAGTATTTAAATCTCGAAACAAAAATATTTAATTGCTTTAGAGTTTAGTAGTAGAGCTGATGAGAAAGATGATTTAAGATGATGTGAATTTCTCCTTCTGTGCCCCAGACACACTTCACTTTAGTACATAGCAGATGGAGAATTTGCATATAGTTATATATGTAAGCACAAAAAAAGATGAAGAAATTGAGAGGACATGTCACTTTTCTTTAAGGTGTAAAATATATTCTTAATATAAAGATATAATGTTGATGTTTCGATATGGAGGCCTATTTAGAGATTCTTATTGGTCATTCAATTTGCATCCTAAAATTTGAACATTAAAACTTTATACATTTGTTTAGACCAGGGGTTCTCAACTTTGGCCCTCAAGGTACATTGTCCTGCAGAGTTTAGCTCCAACCCTAACCAAACACACCTGAACAAGCTAATCAAGGTCTTCAGGATTGCTAGAAAGTTACAGACAGGTGAGTTTGATCAAGGTTGGGGCTAAACTCTGCAGGAAAGTGGATCTCAAAGGCCAGAGGTGAGAACATCTGGTCTAGAGCGACAGATCTTATTAGGTACATCAACAGAAAATTACATGCTGAAATATGGAAAAATATAAATGCATTTACCAAAAAATTAAATAATACAACAGCCACCTCCTGGTAATGAAACAGCAGGAGCTTTTGAGGACTTGGTTTTTGTATCGCTTTGACCCTGAACTCGTTCACTGTGTTATTACACAATAATAGACAGCAGTGTCTTCAGTCTTGAGGCTGTTGATCTGTAGGTAAAGCTGACCTCTGTAGTCATCTCAGGACACTGTGAACCTGCCCTGAACTGACTGGAAATAGAAGATCCGAGAACTGGTACTGGATACATATGGATGAATGCAATCCACTCCAGTCCTTTTCCAGGGATTTCTCTCACAACAGCTGCAGCACAGCTACTGAATGAAAATTCAGAGGATGTGCAGACCAGCCGAAAAGATTCACCAGGTCTTTTTACTACACCTTGAGACTGAATGAAAGTCTGACCATGAATATCTGTGGATCAGAACAAAAATGAATACACTGAAACATTTACAGAATCTAAAGCTTTAATAAATTACATTTAATCTGACTAATTTAGAAAATGGCATTATTTACTGACCATGTAAAAATAAGATTAACAAGAGTGAATTCATTTTTTTCTTCATTGTCGACTGCTGACTGACTGTCAACAAATACAGACACATTACAAAGCTTACAGCAGCTTAAGAAGAAAACACATTGCAGTTTTGCATTAACTCTTCCTTCCGTCTGCATTGCAAATTTTCTTGCTCACCTAAATGTACAGTATGATAAACAAGTGCACAAGAATTTATAAGGATAGATTTAAAAACATTTTGTAGAGTGAGTAGTGCACATGATTCACAGCATATCAGAAATGGGCCATACAGAAAATATCTTTATTACAGCAAAACCTTATTTTGATGCCACAAAATACTGTCATTTAAAAAGATATAAGTATATTTTTAAAAGATAATGGGATTTTTTTATATTTATGATTGGATACGGGAAGATGGATGGTAATATAGTAAGGGGTTTTGACTTGAGGATGTTTTTGTGCAGAGCTGTGGCTTGTTTAGTGACTGTGTGTATCTTGCACAGTAATACACAGAAGTGTGTCTTCAGTCTGAAAATTATTTCCCTGTAGAAACACTGTGTTTTGGACGTGTCCTGGGTGAAACTGATCTTGTTTTTCACAGAGTCTTATGATTGCCACCACCACTACAAGATATCTGAGCCATTCCAGTAGTTTGACGGATCCAGTGAATAAATAATGCATCAGTGAAGCTCACGGGATGCAGCTGCTGCCAGCAGTAGTAGAGCTGATGAAAAGATCGTGGTTTGAAGTAAATGCTACTTTATTACTCCTAGTCTTTTCTTCAGTAATTCTGCTTGTTAGCAGCTGTTCATCACTAATGCTCAATCATCACTTAATTAATCACTTAATTATCTCATTAACTTTAACTCTGCTTCAGGGTTACTTTAACACTATTTAGAGTGGAACCAAATGTTCTCTGAATAGAGTTGACTTAACTCTGGGGATTTTGCTGTTTACTAATTTATTGCGTGATTGATTAAATAGTGTGCAAATGTGAAATGCAACAAAATGCATGTACCAAGATTTCAAATACTTTAATGATGCAAATAAATAGTCAAGCAGTCATGTAGCAGCTGAAGAAAGTAATAATATATCAAATGCAAATAAACAGTAAATAAATAATATTCTAGGCACTTTTTATGTGTCTACAATATTTTTTTGCATTGTGTTTCCAACCAGTCTCTGCAGAGAATGCAATAATTCTTGCACAGGTCTTCAGGCAATTTGTGATGCTGTGTATTGCGTGCACAATAATATACAGCTGTGTCCTCAGTCTGAAAGTTTTGACCTCGTAAGAAAACTGTGTTGCTGGAGGTTTCAGCAGTGAAACTGATCTGATTCTTCATTGTGTTGCTGCTGCCTGTACACTCTTAAAAATAAAGGTGCTTCAAAAGGTTCTTCAAGCGATGCCATAGAAGAACCATTTTTGGTTCCACAAAGAACCATTCAGTCAAAGGTTCTTTAAAGAACCATCTCTTTCTTACCTTTTTATGATCTGAAGAACCTTCTTTCTTTTTTTGTGTGAAACAGAAAGGTTCTTCAGATGTTAAAGGTTCTTTATGGAACCATTTAGACAAAAAGGTTCTTCTATGGCATCGTGAAGCACCTTTATCTCCAGAACTACAGAACCAGCCAATCCATTCCAAAGCTTTTCCGGCTGAGTGTTGTATCCAGTTAGTACAGCCACCTCCTGATGCTAAATAGCCAGTTATCTTACAGCCAATGGAAAATGATTGCCCAGGTTTTATCACCATGAGAGCAGGCTGATTCAGCTCAATACAATGAACACCTGGAAACATTGCCATTTACTGAAATTATTTGTGCATGTTATCATCACAACTGAACTGAACATATTTTAAAGGAATATCAGTTACAAGACACCCTAATAAAACTGTAGTGTTGTTTAGTGTTGATAATGATACTCACTGGGCACAGTAGATCATCACTAATAATATAGAGTACATGATTATATCTGTCTGTAGTCTCTCAGGCGGGACTTGTGATTATCTCCACCCCAGAGCTCTTTATTGTGTCTGTATGCTCCTGTTTGCATAAGGAAAGAGGTTTGCATCATTCATTTGTTAGTAAACAAATTAAATTCCAATGTCAACTCTAAAATGGATATGTCCTTAAATTAAAATAACAACATTGCAGTCTTTGCTTATTGTAAATGAGCCAATAAAATGATTAAATATCTTCTGTTTCATTTTTTTTTTAAATGACTAATTAAAGATGAAAAACTATTTAAAGAAAATGCATTATTCTTTATTAGCGAACACATGAAAATGTAGAGATCCCAAAGCAGCACTATATGTTATTTTTTAACGTTGATTTATTTTTACTTAAATAAAATGTACACTGTGGCACATATTGCACTGATCAAATCTGTTGGTTTACATCATTTAAAAAATAGATCAGAATTGCTTGTGTTTCTTCAGAGTTTCAACATTGGACAGTCTGTTTCTTTGTCAAGAAAACAAACGTTCAGTCCGAAACTAAGACTGCTTGACAAGAGCACCACCTCTTGGAAATGGAACAGTAGGCATCTGGAGCATAAATGAAGCAATCAGGTAGTGGTTTTTGTATTGCTTTGACACTGAACTCATTCACTGTGATTCTCTTGCGCAGTAATACACAGCAGTGTCTTCAGTCTTGAAGCTGTTCATCTGTAGGTACAGTTGACTGCTGGAATCAGCTCTAGACACTTTAAACCTGCCCTGAACTGACTGGGAATAGTATGCATCACTGGTGGAAGTGATAGCTGCAACCCATTCCAGTCCTTTACCGGGTGCCTGTCTCATTACAGCTGCCCAGGAGCCGCTGAATGTAAATCCAGAGGCAGTACAGACCAGCGTAAAAGATTCACCTGGTCTTTTTACCACATCTTGAGACTGAGTGAATGTCTGACAATGAATATCTGTGGAAAAGAGAGAAAAACTGAAAAGTCAGCGAAATGTAAAACTAAGCTTGCCACAAGTATTTATACAGTAATATATTATTATTTATTTAGAAATTAACAAACCATGTAAAAATAGTAATATCAGGACTGAATTAATTATTGTTGTCATGATTATGCTCTTCTACAAGAACCACATACAACAGCACATATACATGCACATATACATCACAGTTTTGCATGAACTCCTCCTCCAGCCTGTCCTTTCTTGTTTGTATCTATTAGTATGAAAAACAGAAATTTGTATATATATAAATAAATAATACACAAAAATGTTAACTGTGGAATAATGAATAGTATAATGGGCCTAGATAAAGTAAGCAAAGAAAAATGGTATATAGTAAATTTCTGAGAATATTTTTCATAAATGTTAATTATGACAATTTAATATTTTTAAAGCATTTTTGCCTAGATGAAAAGTGTGGATGGATGGTAGCATGCATGGGTGTCCCTAGTCCCATTTTACAGGGGCACGAGCCCCAGTTACTGATAAATCCTCATATGTGTTTTCTTTAGGTCGTTTTCTGGCGACTGCAGATTCGTGAATGTTCACTCATGCACTGAACTGTTTGCGGCGGTTTCTCATACCAAAGTAGTAATGGGATATTTTATGAGAAATAAAATAAAAAGAGCACTGAATAAGGTGGATGTTTACCTAAAATCTATTAGGAAGCAAAACTTTCAAATGTCTTTTATCATTTATCAACAACGAATCAGCTCTTTATTGCGTGTGCAGCTTGTAAACAACTCTGTACTTCAGGTAAAGACTATTTATAATTTAATCAGACACCTGGCAGACAAGTTAATATAATTTAAGATAAATTAAGATAAGTTATGATAATTAATGTATGAAAGTATAATGTATGAATTACTTTCATCTGCCTTTATACATTCTACATTTGTAATATTCACATAAAGGCACTGAATATTTGCAACGCTATTACAACACTTCCTCAATATGTTATTCTGGTAGCACCAGTTCTAATGTAGCCCGATTGTCATGCTGCAAGTTTGTAGTAAAGATACAATCTTGGGCTGCATTTATCAAAAGCATTGTGAACTAAGTTGCTTGTAGAGACCATTGTTGGCAATAGTTCAATGATCTAACAGTAGATGCACTGCTGATCAAGGCTGATTAGTCAACATTCATCATCTGTATATGTGAATGAGGAAGTAATTTTTGTATTGCTTTGACACTGAACTCATTCACAGTGACTCTCTAGCGCAGTAATACACAACAGCAGTGTCTTCAGTCTTGAGGCTGTTCATCTGTAGGTACAGTTGACTGCTGGAATTATCTCTGGACACTGTGAACCTGCCCTGGACTGACTGGGAATAGTAGATTGGAGAACTAGCTGTGTCGATGTATGCAATCCACTCCAGTCCTTTTCCAGGGCTCTGTCTGCTCCAGCTCAGATATAGATGGCTGAAAGCAAATCTATATCTGTAAAAGCAAAACTGTTTGATCAGTGTCAAACAGTTGGACAAAACAGCGCTAATGCAGTGAAAAACAAGGTCAATTTTATCAGAGATTGTGGAGAGAATAGTGACTCACGTCCAGATGTCAGTAAATTATTCTTTTCATTGTGTATTTGGATTAAAAGCATGAATGTTTTATAATGGACGCTGGCTGGCGCTGGAGGTGTTATGCCGTGGTAAGAAGTTTAGCGATTCTGAATGTATCCAGTGGCGGTTTAGTGGTCTTTGGCGTCTCCCTGTGGTCATGTTTGGTATCGCAGCTTGACTTGTGGTTATTTGTATTGAAAACGTTTGTTTAATTAATGATTGATTGTGACACTATACATAGCCTACATTGTGAATTATGAAAATTAAAAAGTAGTTATTTAACATAACAAATAAATATAAATAAATAAACAAATAGGGGGGGGGGGACCGGCACTTCTTTTTTCCCACTTCAAGCACTGTGTGTATGTATGTATATTTAAAGGCCATACCCTATGTGTGTGTGTGATATTGTTTTATATTTTTCCTTTCATGCAAGTAACTGTCTACAGCTTTCTTTCTCTTGCTATAGATATTTTTGTGCATGCCTCTTGTTGTTTTGTGTCACTGTGACTCTCGTGCACAGTAATACACGGCTGTGTCTTCAGTCTGCATGTTCTGGCCTGTTATTGTCAGTGCTGCTGGACGTGTCTCTGGAGATACTGAACTTGTTCTTTAGTTTTTCACTATAGTGTGTGACTCCACTGCAGCAAACTCTTCCAATCCACTCCAGTTCTCCAGAAGCTTGTTGTATACAGTTTGTGCAGTAGCCACAGTTAGACAGTGAATAGCTTGAGACTTTACAGGAGAGACTCAAAGGTTGGCCAGGCTTTAGTTCTTTAGAGTCTGGCTGAGTGAGTTCAATACTGTGGACACCTGGAGAAAGAAGCATGTGAGTTCAAGACAATAATAAATAGGAAAATTATTAACAACATTTTAGTATTTTCTGATTACATACTTGCTGTTGAAGAAAAGAGCAGCAACAGTATCCATACAGTCATGATGTTTAACTTTTGCTCTTTACTGTGTACTAAATGTGCAGCGTAATTAGCCTGTTTATGTGCACATCCATAAATAAGGAGGAGTCATGAAAGATTTGCATCATGACCTGAAAATTTTAAATTTACCAATGGGAAATCCACTCTCTTCACAAACAAAAGCATACTCTTATTTGATCTTTTGCTTCATCCATTTATAGTCGTGCTTACAGACAACTGCAGCATATTTCATAAAGAAAACGGCACTGCACAGGCAAAGGCTGCATGTTGTTTGAGAGCTAATTTGAGTACTGCCTATCATTTCCTGCTATTACCACTATAATGTGCTTACTTAGAAAGTATACATAGACCACAGACCTGAGGTTATGTATGAGGTTTACATATTCTGCCTTTTTGGTTTTTATGTAAGACAAATATAAAAACAAGCACACAATGTTTTACCACATTATAGTAACATGACAGACTTTCCCATATTACTTATTTAGGCCGTTTCTCAAAAGGAAGGCTGCATCCTCCCCTCCGGAGGTCGAATTTGTAGGCTGCATACGTCATAAAGAAGATCTTATTTTAGAATATTAACATTTATAAATCTGACCATTATTCTTAGTTAAGCGTAAATTGTTGTAATATGCTTATGACTCGCAAATGTAATGTTCGGTTAACTGAAATAAACCAGGCTTGGTGATGTATGCAGCCTGCAAATGCAACCTCCGGAGGATGCAGCCTTCCGTTTGAGAAACGGCCTTAATGTCTGTAAGGGTCCAATGAAGGGTTTACAGTGCTATTTCAGTTTTCAGCCATAAATTTCAGTTTAGTATCATAATTATGATTTATAGTTTATAGACTGTTGGGCTATGAAAAATAAATATTACAAATGTATTGTCAGGTCTGGTAGAGTGTCTGTGTTTCTGGAAGAGACAATGGTAATCTGCTTTTCAGTATGTCACCTCTATACCATACAATAATCCAGCCCGTTGTGCAGCCTGTCATGTCTAGTAAACACAACTCAAAAACTCAGAAAAGGTGATATTAATAGCCATAAAACAGTTTTCTGGCATTAATAATTTTGACAGAATCATAAGTTAAAGAGATGCTGTATTACAAATGTCTGTATGAGCCTTTAAAGGGATAGTAAACTATAAACTAAATTCTGTCATCATTTACTCACCTTCACATCCTTATAAACCTGTATGTATGTATGTATTTTTTCAGCTGTTTTTGTCCACATAATGAAAGTCAGCAGATCCAAAACAACAATGGATATCACTGACCTGAATAAACAAAAATATTGAGACATTTTTAACGATATATTATTTTGTTCACGTTTCACACCTGTATGATTTTCTTTATTATGTTAAATCGGTATTACTAAAGATGACTACATGTTTGTAAGTATAGACAGACATGTCATGTCTGAAAACTATGAAAATATACCCAAAACTGTATTAAACTTCCATTCCAAATCTTCAAACACTATTTGAGTTGTGTTATAAAACATCACAGGTTTCATTGTAGACCACAGCTGTGGCTTTTCTGCTTATTGGGCTTCTTTTCTGCTCTTTGGGCTTTATGTAAGTCATGTATAAAAATACACAGGAAGTGTTTATCAGATTATATGTGCCATATGTGGTACCATCTACCTGTAACAAAAGCCTGAGGAATAATTCTGCTCATTGAAGTCAGACAATGGAAGATTTTCAAATTGAAATGACAGAAATTGAAATTCCAGAATTTGAAGTTCCAGAAACTGAAGTTCCAGAAGGGGACTTTTGTGATGTGGCGATGGAAATGGATTATGAATTAGAGATGGAGGATGATAATGCGGATGAAGAATCTGAGACTAAAAGACCATCTCATACAAAAGCTCAAAATCCAAAACGCCTAATCCAACAAAACCTCCAAGGTCCTCGCAAAGTCCAAGTAAAAGTGAAAGACTACTTGCGCCACTCTGTGTTGATCGTCACCTTCTGCAACTGCCTGCTTCTGGGTACGGCTGCATTGATATACTCCTTAAAGGTAAGGAATTTGCAACAATTACTAACACATTATATGCAATGGTTCAGGTCAAACCTGACTCAGTAACTGATTTTTTTTTTTTTTTTGACTCAAAGAGCCATATGTTTGCCATATATTATGATCAAATGGCAATTTAATTTGTGTATTTATATTCACAGGTAATAAACAGGAAGTATAAGAGAGATGTCAAAGGAGCAAAGAAATTCAGCCGCCGTGCTCTGGCTGCCAATATTTGTGCCATGATTACAACCATCATCACCATAATTGTTGTTTCTGTTGTTGCTGCATTTAGACTTGGTTATTGTTACCGTTAGTATGTTGTATCATTTAAATTTTCAGATCCAGTCATTACAATGAAATATCAACAGCAAAACTTGTAGCTCTGGCTATATGAATATGATATAAGAATATTATAAGATATAAGAACTTCATTAGTTTTGTATCAAAAATTATTATTTTGTTACTGTTTGATGCTTATTATTAAACATTGCATTCAACTGTACATCTTTGTCTTTTCATTGTATGTTTGTTAATGAGAAGTATACTGACATTTACCTTTTCACACACAGATTATTATATTGTCACAGCTCTTTGAAATATTTAAAACATGGTATTTAAAAC